AAACTAAACAGACTCAATGATCAGCATTACAAGATCAACAAAACAGAGATTTATTTCATGAATTCTATTCTTGTCGACAATGTTGGAGAGTGTCCTTTGTTGAATATGCACATAGCGGTAGACCAAGGTGAGCGACACAGGCTCTTTAGAGCCTCTAGTTTGTTATTGTTCACATTTTCAGCATAATTGTAGTCAGTGCCATTATAACAACCATGATAACCTGTAATTAATTGACTTTTTTTTTTATTAGTTTATTTTTTTGATATAGTGTATAAACTTTCTTGTTGCTAAATTTGTCTTCTTGTCCCTAAGTTTTTTCTTCTTCTTGCTATTTTTTTCTTCTTGTCACTAATTAGTGAGACCACAAAAAATGTAGTACATCAGAAAAACTAGTGAAGTAAAGTAAAGTGATTAAAATTAGGCTTTTGTCTCGCCCTACAACAGAAGTCACAGAATGTGATACATAGGGATTATTATCCAAAAGAATTGCATAAACTATTTGTTTAAAGTAATATATTTTAGAAGATAGAAGACCTGGTAGGGGTGTGGAAATATTTGTTGTGAGCACTTGTCCCTGGGCAAGTTAAACTGTAAATTTTACTTGTCTAGAAAAAAGTTAATTGCCCTGAATTTCCCAATAAATAAAGTATTTTACTGTGAGCTTGTAAGATTCTTAAAATAGAAAAATAAAATGATGTGATATGATTGCCAATGAGACAACTCTCTACCAGAGACCACATGATGTAGAATTTTACAACTATAGGTCACGTTAAAACTATTTTGTATCACATATAAATGATGTTTGTGATATTTTTTTTTGTATAAATAAAAAGAGGTATGGGGTTAACATCAATCGTTTGTCAATGAGAGTATGAACCCAAAAGGAAAACAACCGAAAGACATCTAGAGGGTAATTTGCAATGTTTTGTCCATTTCCCCAGACACCTGTTTAATTTTACTGTTTTCTTCATCTGACAAGCTTGGTGTTTTGCAAAACATTGATTTTGGTGTCCCTTCTATTTATCAATTTGCCAAAAAATAACTCAGACTTTTGATCTGCAAGTTGTGGGTGTTTCCTACAAATTGTGCAAAAATTTGATTTATTTTCAAAAGTTTCTTCTTTGAAGCGCCACGATGTCTGGAATTCTCGCATCTGTTTTTTTTTTATATTCCTTGTCTTTCTTCGCCCGTGCTTTCTGTTTTTTACTCTACTCGTCATTACTATTTTCATTATTTTAGTCTTGATTACCAGGTCTAGGTGTTTTTATCAGGTATTATATGGCTAGCTGTTTTACTATTTATTCTAACTTCAAGATATCTCATATAATATATAAGATATCTTATATAATCAAGCTTTTATAAGATATCTTATATACTTTATAAGATATCTTGTAAACTTTATAAGATATCCTATATACTTTATATATAAATAAGATATCATATACTTTATAAGATATCTTCTAAAGTTTATAAGATATCTTATAAAGTATATAAGATATCTTATAAAGTATATTATAATAATAATAATAATAATAAATTCTTTATTTAAAGAGGGTAAACTCAGTTAGTTACAATAAACTAATCTTCCCTGAGGCCCTCACATACAAATTACAATACAATCAAAAACAGATATTTACACATAGTTAATTTACAGTCAATTAGTTCAATGTAATATTACTAACACGATAAGATATGAAGGCTGTTCAAGATGCACATGTAGTCAAAAAATCAAATAAAAATAAAAATAAAAGAATATACAAATACATTGTAGAAAACATAATCTTATCAGGACTGTGTTAAGTACTTCTTGATACTTTGTTTAAAAATATAAGTGTTTTGAGCTTTACGATTTTTGTGTGGTAGTCCATTCCATAACACTGATCCAGAATAAACAAAAGATTTCTTAAATAGCTCAGCTTTGGCTTAGGAACTATCAGATTACCTTGAGTGACACCTCTCAAGGAGTAAGGATTATTATCTGATTTCAGTTTAAACTTTTGAACTAGGTACATTGGTGCTTCCATACACATACATTTATGTAGAAGTAAATATTTGTGGTATTTGATTCTATTGTCAACTGTCATCCACCCAAGTTCTTTAAATAAGGGGGCTGAGGGGGATAAAGGATCTGCATCTAGAATTAATCTTGCTGCCCTTTTTTGGAGTTTTAAAATTCTTGTTATCCCTTCATTTTTACATTCACCCCAAATAATACAACAGTAGTCAATTAGGGGCAGAATATACCCATTGTAATATGTTTTCCTTGCATTTATATATAAAAATTTCTTTATTCTAGAAAGAAGGTATATTCTGAATGATATATTAGCACAAACTTGGTCAATTTGATTTCTCCAGTTAAGTGTGCTGTCAATTTTAACATCTAATAATTTTTCACATGAAGAATTTTGTAATACTTTTGAATTTATTATCAAGTTTGGTTGATAAGTCTGAATTGATAGTTTCTGCTTTGTTCCAGTAACCAAACATTTTGTTTTATTTGCATTAATGAACATATTATTCACTTTGCACCACTCTTCAACCCTGTATAAATCTTCTTGAACATCATCAATGTATATTTTCTATGTTTTTCCCTGATTTATGAAGAGTGGTGTCATCAGCATATAGGTCTGTTTCACAATTTTCAATGCATAAGGGAAGGTCGTTTATAAATAGCACAAACAATAGAGGACCAAGTATAGAACCTTGGGGGACACCAAATTTTACATGTTGTTGTTCAGAGTAAACATTACAAATGTTTACCTGCTGTTTTCTGTTATTCAGGTATGACTTGAAAAAACTAACAGTACTAGTAGCCTCACTAAATCCATAAATTTCAAGCTTTAAGCAAAGAATGTCATGATCTACCAAATCAAAAGCTTTTAAAAGATATCTTATAAAGTATATAAGATGTCTTTTAAATATTTTTTATATAAGATATCTTATATACTTTATAAGATATCTCATATATTTTATTAGATATTTTATATAGTTTATATGATATCGCATAAAGTTTATAAGATATCTTATATTATTTATAAGATATCTTATAAAGAAAATTATATGAGATATCTTATAAATTATATGAGATATCTTATAGATTATATGAGATATCTTATAAACTATATAAGATGCCTTATAAACTATATGATATATCTTATAAACCTTATAGGTTGCAATTCTGTAAAAACAGACGATGCAATTTCCAATAGGAACTCCCTTTAGGGCTAAAACTGTATCACTTTTACTAGGAAGTTTCGTAAAAAATTATATCCTAGAATGGAAAGCTCATATGCACAACTATTTTTTTCAAAGGTCAAAATATAGGGCTGTGTGGCATATTTTCAACATTTATATGCCCTGAACTTCTAAGAGTTAAAACTTATACTAAAATTCTGTACTACCCCTCACTTCACTTTTGGTCTTCCACAGATTTCAATTTGGCCGCTATTCATGTGTATTTATACTGGTAACATTTCCAAGTTATGTCTCTACCAGATGAAACATAGAGATCATTTCTTGGAACCAGTAGGTAAACAAAACAAAATATCTATGAATATTATATATCTTCCCAAAAGAGGCGTGGATAATCTCTATCGGTCTAATCTGAACCACTGCGTTCACACTACAAGTAAAATGCAATCAATCTGACCTAATAACCAGTGAAAGTGTAAACACTGTGCATAAAAAGAAATATTTAATCAAATTAATGTGTTGATAATGGATGAAGTTATTGTTTCACTTAAGCTTGAATTACAAGTTCAAATGTCGATACTGTTGTTCTTATAGTTTTCGTTAATTTTCATGTTGGTCATCCATTTGTAATAAATTACACTTGTAATTTTGCCTCCATACATGCGCACAAATTATTTTGGATTCAATCGTACTAGTTTAGATCAATCTCTGCAAGTAATTTTTTTGAGAAAATTAAAGGGAGATTATTCAAACCTTATAAGAAAATATGGACATAACAAATTTATTCCTTTAAGTATATTTTTATTTACTTCTTCAAATAAATAAAAATAACTTGTACAAATTGTACCCCTGACTGTAAGTGTTACTCTTGACTGTCCTTCCGTCTGTCTGTCTTTCAGTCCGACCGCCTGTCCTATTTTCGTTTACGCACTGTTACTTAAGTTTTCTCATCAAATCTTATGAAATTCATACACTATGATAAGAACCACAACACCTAAACAGAGTTCGAATTTGGGTTGTTAGTCATTTACCATTCTAGAGTTATGCCCCTTTTTAACTTGGAAAATTGCAAAGCTTAAGCGGGGGGAATACGTGTCCTCAGACTCATTCTTCTTTTATTAAAGACAGTGTCTTTTGATGGTATCACGCAATATACATGATATAGCCATTTCATTTTACATGGGGGTAAACAGGTCATATAGGAATCCTGAAAAGTGGAATTCTTCTTCTATTTGTGATATTCTGGGTTTTTTCATTGTTATTCATTAAAAGTGGGCAGTAGCGAATAGAATGAAATAAGAGTAGCATTTTGCATAATAAGCAGTCAACTGATTGACATACGGGAACTACTTAAAAATCCGTGTGAAAAAATGCAGGTTTATTGTGAGTATTATTTCAATCTCAAGTTGTTATTAACATCGTTTCAATTGTTGATATAATAATGAAAAGTCGACTGAACAATGCCTAGTCACCACATGTCAATGTGAAGAAAGTAGGCTTCAACAAATTCTTATCATTGTTTTTTTTATGTTTCCACATTTTGATGACTTTCATTTTCACATTTGTGCATCTTCTCGTAAAATGCTTATATTCTTACGTCATTGTTGAATGACGTCATTTACACCAATTGACCTCGACTAACTCATTCATAAAAAGCATAAGACGTGGGAGTATGTTTGGAACAGCCCAAACAAATAATGATGTTGCCGATCAGCTGACAAACAATATATTTGTATTTTACCACAGGTGTGCACTCAAGGCATTTGCAGAAAGTCATATTAGAATCTTGTTTCAATTTGTGTTTTCAGTAAACAACTTTAAGAAGTGTGTCGATAATAAAATTCTACAATGGTTATTAAGAAGATCATTTGTAAGATGCCTTCATGTTCTTCAGTTTGGCATATCACACTCTCATTGGACACACCCTAATGTTTACTGGTCTTACAGTCAGAGGTCATTTCACAGTAAAAAGATCCAAAGACCTGTGGGTGGAGGGAGGCCTTTAGTTAATCAAGATGATATTTTCAAATGTAATAATTGGTAAGGAGCACATCATGGATACGTCTATTTAACAGTGACACACTACAACATGTACAATACACATCTACAGATCTATCTAACAATGACATACTACATTAAACATCTACAGACCTGTCTAACAATGACATATTACATTAAACATCTACAGACCTGTCTAACAATGACATACTACATTAAACAACTACAGACCTGTCTAACAATGACATACTACAATTAACATTTTCAGACATATCTTACAATGACATACTACAATAAACATCTACAGACCTGTCTAACAATGAAAAACTACATTAAACATCTACAGACCTGTCTAACAATGACATACCACATTAAACAACTACAGACCTGTCTAACAATGACATACTACAATAAACATCTACAGACCTGTCTAACAATGAAAAACTACATTAAACATCTACAGACCTGTCTAACAATGACATACCACATTAAACAACTACAGACCTATACGTCTATCTAACAGTGACACACTACAACATGTACAATACACATCTACAGATCTATCTAACAATGACATATTGTAATAAATATCTAAAGATCTATCTAACAATGACATATAGTAATAAACATCTATGGATCTATCTAACAATGACATACTACAATACACATCTATAGATCTATCTAACAATGACATACTACATTAACATCTACAGACCTGTCTAACAATGACAAACTACAATATACATCTACAGACCTGTCTAACAATGACATACTACATTAAACATCTACAGACCTGTCTAACAATGACATATTACATTAAACATCTACAGTCCTGTCTAACAAAGAAATATTACATTAAACAACTACAGACCTGTCTAACAATAACATACTACATTAAACATCTACAGACCTGTCTAACAATAACATACTACATTAAACATCTACAGACCTGTCTAACAAAGAAATATTACATTAAACATCTACAGACCTGTCTAACAATTCAATGACAAACTACATTAAACATCTACAGACCTGTCTAACAAAGAAATATTACATTAAACATCTACAGGCCTGTGTAACAATGACATACTACATTAAACATCTACAGACCTGTCTAACAATGACATACTACATTAAACATCTACAGACCTGTCTAACAATGACATACTACATTAAACAACTACAGACCTGTCTAACAATGACATACTACATTAAACATCTACAGACCTGGCTTACAATGACATACTACATTAAACAACTACAGACCTGTCTAACAATGACATACTACATTAACATCTACAGACCTGTCTAACAATGACAAACTACAATATACATCTACAGACCTGTCTAACAATGACATACTACATTAAACATCTACATACCTGTCTAACAATGACATACTACATTAACATCTACAGACCTGTCTTACAATGACAAACTACAATATACATCTACCAGTCAGGGGCATTACTTAAATAAGTAACAATTAAAATTACCTATACAAGTAATGTTGAAAACGAGGCTATTTTAAATATTACTTATATAAGTAACTTTTCTGAATATTATTTTTATAGGTGTCCAATTATACAGATTTTAGTAGCTTTAACAAATTTTCACAGTCATCTGGTTATTTTTCCCATGAAATATAAAATCTAATCCTTCTGAAACACTAATTAACTTTCTGACGCACTTATCTTTCATACTGACGCTTCTGGGTCAAAGATTGGTCTCATGGGACTATTAAATTATCATTTTCCTCCAAAATCTTGAAGGTAGACTGATATAAATAGATAGATACTTGTGAATTAATTAAGACTTGAAGTTATTTATAACTTGTAACCAAAATCAATTACATATGTTCCTTCAATAAGTGTTATTACTATTTTTTTCAAAAATGTATAAAATAACTTATTCAAGTAATATTTTTGTCATTATTTTTAAAGTAACCCTTTATCTCTATACTCCTCTCAAATCTAATAAATTCTTTATTTTATGATATAAAATGATGTAAAAATTCATGAAAACTACATTTAGTCTATGCTTCTATTGAAATTTAAAATAACTCTATTAAGTAATTTTATTATTTTTAAAAACAAAAATTACTTATATAAGTAACTTAAAAAAATAACTTGTTTAAGTAACGCCCCTGACTGTCTACAGACCTGTCTAACAATGACATTCTACATTTAACATCCACACAGACTTAACAATGACATACTACATTAACATCTACAGACCTATCTAACAATGACATACTACATTAAACAACTACAGACCTGTCTAACAATGAAATACTACATTTAACATCTACAGACCTGTCTTAACAATGACATACTACATTAACATCTACAGACCTATCTAACAATGACATACTACATTAAACAACTACAGACCTGTCTAACAATGAAATACTACAATAAACATCTACAGACATATCTAACAATGACATTCTACATTTAACATCTACACAGACATGTCTAACAATGACATACTACATTAAACATCTACAAACATATCTAACAATGACATACTACAATTAACATCTACAGACATATCTTACAATGACATACAACATTAAACAACTACAGACCTGTCTAACAATGACATACTACAATTAACATCTACAGACATATCTTACAATGACATACAACATTAAACAACTACAGACCTGTCTAACAATGACATACTACAATTAACATCTACAGACATATCTTACAATGACATACAACATTAAACAACTACAGACCTGTCTAACAATGACATACTACAATTAACATCTACAGACATATCTTACAATGACATACAACATTAAACAACTACAGACCTGTCTAACAATGAAATACTACAATAAACATCTACACCTGTCTAACAATGACATACTACATTAAACATCTACAGACCTGTCTAACAATGATATATTACATTAAACAACTACAGACCTGTCTAACAATGACATACTACAATTAACATCTACAGACCTGTCTAACAATGACATACTACATTAAATAACTGCAGGCCTGTCTAACAATGACATACTACAATTAACATCTACAGACATATCTAACAATGACAAACTACATTAAACAACTACAGACCTGTCTAACAATGACATACTACAATTAACATCTACAGACCTGTCTAACAATGAAATACTACAATAAACATCTACAGACAGATCTAACAATGACATACTACATTAAACATCTACAGACATATCTAACAATGACATACTACAATAAACATCTACAGACCTGTCTAACAAGGACATACTACCTTCAACATCTACAGACCTGTCTAACAATGACATACTACATTAAACATCTACAGACCTGTCTAACAATGACATTCTACATTTAACATCTACAGACATGTCTAACAATGACATTCTACATTTAACATCTACAGACCTGTCTAACAATGACATACTACATTAAAAAACTACAGACTTATCTAACAATGACATACTACATTAAACAACTACAGACCTGTCTAACAATGACATACTACATTAAACAACTACAGACCTATCTAACAATGACATACTACATTAAACAACTACAGACCTTTCTAACAATGACATACTACAATAAACATCTACAGATCTATCTTACAATGACATACTACAATATACAACTACAGCTAATAGCTAATAAAGCACTATAAAACTAGAAAATACATTTCATATGACACATATGCATCAGTAAAGATATTGATAATTGCTGTTGATTTTTCGGTAAAAGAATCTTTGTTTAATTCAGGGACAATGTGGAATGGAATGCTGAACAAGAAAGATCTGCTAAAGAAATAACAGAAAATCAGTGGAAGTCAAAACTGTCTCAAGAGAAAATAGGTATCATGAGAATATTTGAATACAGACTAATGTAGAAATGTTTGTTTTTCTAGGGTTAACATTTGGTGGTTTTGTGTTTAAACTTGATTTTATGGGAATATACATGATAAATGTTTGTGGTAATTTCAGACTTTATCAAGATGAAATATGTTAAATATAAAAAAATCTGTGGAAAACGGACCATATCAGTATAAAATTGGTATTATGACTGAAAAAACCTGTGGAAATCCAGACTTTATCAGTATAAAATTAGTAATATGTCTAAGAAAACCTGTGGAAATCCAGACTTTATCAGTATAAAATTAGTAATATGTCTAAGAAAACCTGTGGAAATCCAGACTTAATCAGTATAAGATTGGTAATATGTCTGAGAAAACCTGTGGAAATCCAGACTTTATCAGTATAGAATTGGTAATATGTCTAAGAAAACCTGTGGAAATCCAGACTTTATCAGTATAGAATTGGTAATATGTCTGAGAAAACCTTTGGAAATCCAGACTTTATCAGTATAAAATTGATAATATGTCTAAGAAAACCTATGAAAATCCAGACTTTATCAGTATACGATTGGTAATATGACTGATAAAACCGTGGAAATCCCAACTTAACCAGTATAGAATTGGTAATATATGTCTAAGAAAACCTCTGGAAATCCAGACTTTATCCATGTTATCAGTATAAAATTAGTAGTATGTCTAAGAAAACCTGTGGAAATCCAGACTTTATCAGTATAAAATTGGTTATATGTCCAAGAAAACCTGTGGAAATCCAGACTTAATCAGTATAAAATTGGTAATATGTCTAAGAAAACCTGTGGAAATCCAGACTTTATCAGTAAGAAATTGGTAATATGTCTAAGAAAACCTGTGGAAATCCAGACTTAATCAGTATAAAATTGGTAATATGTCTAAGAAAACCTGTGGAATTCCAGACTTTATCAGTATAAAATTGGTAATATATCTAAGAAAACCTGTGGAAATCCAGACTTAATCAGTATAAAATTGGTAATATGTCTAAGAAAACCTGTGGAAATCCAGACTTAATCAGTATAAAATTGGTTATATGTCTAAGAAAACCTGTGGAAATTCAGACTTTATCAGTAAGAAATTGGTAATATGACTGAGAAAACCTGTGGAAATCCAGACTTAATCAGTATAACATGTATAAAATTGGTTATATGTCCAAGAAAACCTGTGGAAATCCAGACTTTATCAAGATAAATAGGTTATATGAGAAAACCTGTGGAAATCCAGACTTTATCAGTATAAAATTGGTAGTAAGATTTAAAAAAAAAAAAACACCCTGATGTACAAAAAGTACTTAAAAACATTGACAGTTCATAATATCCATTATAGTGGAGTGACTTTAACCATGAAATTAAATTTTTAATGCACCCACCTAACACACGGCTAAATTATATATCATTTGAAAGCTAAACATCTGTACTATCTGTTTTGCCCAGTCAGTACAATTTTCGTCAAATCAAGATCTAAGGTCAAGGACGAATAAGTGCATATTTTCCAAGATGTCAGCTTGATTGCATATTCTGACTTCTATATAATAAACTCATGTATGCAGACAGTTCAAACTTTTAGCAGAGAGATTAACAGTCATTTATCAAATTCACTTTTAAATATTTATTATATCATATATGTTTTTGAAAGACAGCACATGTTTCCTGAAGTTTGAGTAAAAGTTAACAAAATAGTGAAAACCAAAATTTTTGTTTCTGATGCAACTGCTAATCACTTAAAACTAAGTAAAACCCTGTAATAAATATTAAAGAAGTTTTTGACACCATCAATTTCCTATAATTATACTTACTTCTAATCAAACAGCAAATCATAACAACTCATACAGTTGCCCAAAATACCGCCATCTGCGGATACACAGCTTTTAAGCACTACTTCCCTTTTAAAAATTATATATGGTCGATATAAGATTGAAGAAACAAATTCTGAAGAATGTGAAAAATTTAAAGTAAAAAAATATATGGGAGCATCATACTATTGCTTGAAATAAAGGGGGCGAAACTGCGACATTGCAGTGTGCATTGTAACTGCTAGACGGAAATAAACCTCTTTCAACTTTTCTTATTGTTTGATTTGTAATTTCATTATAAACGTTGATGTAGTGAAAAGACCTTTTATTTATATAATGTCAACCATAAAAAAGAAATTGAAAAAAGACAAAAATAAATAAAAAATAAATCAATGAAAATTGAAATTTCAAAGAATTCAAATACCAGTATACACATTGGAAAACTTGTCTTCTTGGCTGCTTAAACTGCATTGTTCATTGTTTAAATGCATAAATTCATTGAAAAAGAATAATTTGATTGAAAAAATTCCATTAACTTGCAATGAATCTAGTTAAAACTAGACTTCCTGAATAGCTTGAATGACTTGTTCCTTTATTCACACGAGGCTGACGTCACGCAAGAGCTTCTAAGGACGAATGAAAAGAAACTACCATTATCTTTAAACTTCACTTTCCACTATATTGATGATGTCCTCTCACTGAATAATGCAAAGTTTGTGACTATGTTGAATGCGTATATCCCATCGAAATTGAAAAAATAATAGACACAACAGATACAGTTAACTCTACCACATATCTTGACTTACATCTAGAAATGGATGATGAGGGTTGGTTGAGAATTTTACGACAAAAGAGTTGATTTCAGTTACCCAATTGTGAACTTTCCATTTCTATGTAGCAACATTCCAGCAACACCTGCATATGGAGTATATATCTCCCAGTTGATACGATATTCCAGAGCTTGCATTTACTTCCATGATTTCCTTGAAAGTGGGTTGCTGCTCACAAGGAAGCTACTAAACCAGAGTTCAAAATGCCTAGTTGAAATCATCCCTTCGAAAATTTTATGGACGCCATTACGAGTTGGATGACCCTGGAATATTTGATTCGCCAGATGACGACGGATAAGTACATGTAAGTTCCAATCGACGTAACCACAATACCATCCTCTCTGCCTGGAATATCATCTACTGAATTAGACTTATCATCGGGTTAGGAATTACACAAGACTGGTGCCACATGTGGAACAGGATCTTCTTACCCTTCTGTAGCCCCTGAGTTCATCCCCAGTTTTGGGGGGGTTTTTGTTGCTCAATCTTTAGTTTAATATGTTGTGTTTTGTTTACTCTTGCTTGTCTTTTAGTCGTTTTTTCGGTTTGACCCGGCTTTGTCAGTTTGTTCTCAAATTATGAGTTTGAATGTCTCTTTGATATCTTTCATTTCTCTTTTAGTAATAAAAGTTTTATAAATTGTTGTTAAATATATCATGATTACGAATTGGTTATATATATCACCGTCAGCAAATTAACTTATTTTGGCGGATATTTGTCTTATTGCGTTTAATCCTCTTTACTTTACTGTGAGGGGATTTTTTGACGATTTTTATTTCTGCAACTTAATGTCTTTAAACATGTTAAAGTAAAGTGATACCAAAGGGACAATCTCAAACCATGAATCAAAGAAACTTAGATAAAACCATGAACAAAATGAAATAAAAGTCCCAACAGTCCACAAAACACAGTGCAGCATGAAAACGACCACTACCTCAAACAGCGAATGATCTTATGAGGTCAGGAAAGGTATTCAACCTTTCATTTATTTAACAACACAACTACTAATAATGTTTTTACATACACAATTACCTGCATTTGTATTTTAAAAGCTTATGCTGAAAACACTCAAAACAGCTTTCATTCTAATAATTAAAGAGATTAAACTTCTAAACACATTTAACATGTCTAACACGTTTTTAAACAAAATATAAAGCAGCAGCATTATATCTATTTCGTTTATATCACGCAAAAGACAACCAAGTGTTTTCAAACGATGGTTACTTATTTCAATGTTGCCACCGATTTAGTCCCAAAGTCATATTTGCATTTCACATGACTTCAAAAGGTAAATAAGTTTGACTTAAAAAAAAAGCCATATTTTTACCTCAATTCGCTTGTATATTTCCTTTCGAATTTTAAATACCCATTCTTTTATTATAAACAATTATTCTCCTCCCTGATATTGACAATTAGCGATGTGCTATCTAAAAATAGAAAAACAAAATGATCGCTATTTGCAGATAGCAGATTTTTGGGCAATTGCAAACACTTCAATAGAAGGCTGTTCCATGAACAATAGTTAATAATTGCACCTTAAAATTATAAAAAAAATATTCCTAGACCTAAAAACCATACATTTATTTAATGTTTGAGCATACAAATATCGATCCTCCAAGATATATTTTGCTTTTAGAGTATTTTTTTTCATTTTTGTAGGATTTGTTAAGAATTTCAATTTTCTGGAAATATTGCACAACTTACCTCTAAATTTTTGTTTGATTTGGAATAAATGTATCATGTTATATAAGGTTCATATGATCTTTTGGAAAATTTTATTTTACAAGAACAAGAAAATGGCTTTTTGTTTAGTTATCACAAAAATTTGGAATGATTATTCTTGACCTTTGACCTTGATTTAACAGAAAATGCATCAAACGGTTTTTTTACGACCGGGCAAAACAGAAAGTACAGATAATTATTAAAGCTTTCGAATGATATATAATACAGCAGTGAGTTAGATGGGTGCATTAAAGTCCTTAACTAAGAGGCTTTTTGAAAAATGTCACTCGCCTATTAAGATAAAGAAATGATTGCATTCATTTCAACACAAACAAAAAATGAAGCATCTTTATATCCTTATATTATTTACATTTTATAGAAAATAACTTATCCAGAGCCATTTAACACATGTTTAAAATGACTGATTACAAATAGCAGTGCATTATTTTTGATAAATAGAAATATGGGCTTTTTAAAGAATGCAAAAAAAATGTAAGTGTCTTTTCTCTGATATTCATCATATTTTATGAAAAACATCCCATCCTAATCATGCTAATGTACAAAAAGTACTTAAAACCAATGGTGGTTTATGATTTCCATTAAAATATAGGAAATAGCTGCATTCTC